GCGCCGGGCTCCTGGGAGCACCTCACGGAGCAGCAGGGCACGCGCGGCTTCTCCGGGCTGCTCCGTGAGTACCGGGGCTGCCCCGGCACCCTGTCCCCCCTCACTTCCACTGTGGGGACGTGGTGCCTCTCGCCGCCAGCCGCCCAGGTGGCCTTCCTGGCCCAGCAGCGCCACGTCTACCTGGGCGCCGGGGGACAGCTCAGCCTGTGCAGCCTCAACGCCCGCAACCTGGAGCGCGTGGCCCGCGGCATCCGCGATGCCGCCATGGCCCCCGCCGCCCCCAGCGAGCCCTCTTCCCCCCTGGAATAAAGAATATCTGTTTATGAGTGTTCGTTTAAGGCGGCTCCCTGTTTTTCTGCTGGCTCTGTTCTGCGGCCAGGGCTTTGCTGTAGTCCTGGAAACCACCGGTAATTAAGGGAGATGCTCAAGGTCATGGAAACGGCCTGGAGCGGCAATGCCCTCCTCGCCATCCGCTGGGCGGAGGACGAGGAGCCTCCTTGAGACGATAACGTACAGGGCTGGAGTCACTGGGTGACACAAAAGCAGGGTTTTAAACCCTAAATACTCTGTCAGGACTTTCTTTGAGGAACAACTGGGAGCAGTTTTGGTGCAGACATAGTCCACGAGACACTCCTGCTGCAGCCGCACTCCGGGTGTCCCTTTCTGCCCGCTTTGCCCTGCAGAGACCTGCAGGACTGCAGCTCTTTCACGTGCAAAAGCCCGGTTATTGCTCGCAGGAGCACCCAAGTGATTGAGGCAGGAGCACCCATGTGCTGCTTGCCCAGGCAGGAGTTTCCTCCCCAGTCCCTGCATAAAAGGCTCCAGGGAAGTGACTTTATCCCAGACGGTGCAGGGATTGCAAGTGCACGGCGGGGGGAAGCAGCAGCACTCGGGGAAGTGCATCAAAAACCGCGTCAGTCTAAATCCACGGGAACTCAGGGTGGATGCGCTCGGTGCGTTCCCGAACTCCGTGCCAGGGCTGCGGTGGGGATTTGCTTTCCCGGATTGATCCCTCCTCCGTGGCGTTTCCTTCGCCCTCGAGGCTGCGCGGCACTGAGCAAGGTGTCCATGAGGAGGCAGCCCAAGCGCGGCAGCCTCCCTGCCGCCGCCTTCCGAGCGGCCGGTTAATCCTGTTAGAGCGATGGATGAGCCGGCTGCAGGCGCGCGACGGGGCGAGCCAGTACCCGAGGAGCAGAGCATCTTTATTTGTTTATCTGCTAATGCCTGTTGTTATTTCCAGAAGCAATAGGAACTAATTTCTGGCTTAGCTGCTGCTCCCCCTTCTCCACTGCCAGAAGCTGCCCCTCCGCAGCAGCCGGCGTCAGGCAGAGAGGGTGGGAGCATTGGGAAAAGCTTCCAAGGAACGTGGAGGAGCCCGGGGTTCGGTGAGTGCTGCTGGGGCGGATTGCCTCCTTCTTCCTTTCTATTCCTTCCAAATAGGATGGTTTAACTCCATGCTGTCCCCGCCTGTGTGCCGGAGCGGGGCTGGAGACTGGCACCGACCCCGTTCTGAGCCTCGTTTTCCCTTTTCACCCTCAGGAGCCTGCAGCAAATCCCTTCATCCCGCCACGCCGGAGCCGCTGGCATCAGGGAGATTGACCTTCCTGAGGGGCCGGCAGCCGGGGGCTCGGAAAGGGACACGGCTGGGGGCTCGGGATAGGGACACGGCTGGGGCTCAGGGTCCCCATCCCGCACCCGTGTCCATGGAGGCGGCCGGGCAGCGGGAGCAGGCCGGCGCGGCGGCCAACGGCAGCGCGCGGGAGCTCGGCCGGCCGGAGCGCTCCAACGGCAGCGCGCAGTTCGCCGGCGTGCAGCTCGTGCAGTCCTTCAAGCCGCTCATCGTGCCCTGCTACGCCCTGCTGCTGCTCGTGGGGCTCCTGGGCAACTCGCTGCTCCTCTACGTCATCTGCAAGACCAAGAAGATGCACAACGTCACCAACTTCTTCCTCGGCAACCTGGCCTTCTCGGACATGCTCATGTGCGCCACGTGCGTGCCCTTCACGCTGGCCTATGCCCTGAGCCCCCACGGCTGGATCTTCGGCAGGTTCCTCTGCTACTTCGTGTTCCTCATGCAGCCCGTGAGCGTCTACGTGTCCGTCTTCACGCTCACGGCCATCGCCGTCGACAGGTGAGCGGCCGCGCGGAGCCCGGGGCTGCTTGGCCTCATGGTCGGAGGATCCGGGGTGTCTTTGGCACTTATTTTCTGCTAGCACCGGGATTTTGGGGAGCAAATACCGCCGAGGGGGGGTTCTCTGTTGTTGTTTTGCCCTTATTTTGTGGTATTGCATTTGCCAATGCGACGCCACCTCTACGCAAAGCCGGTTCAAGGCGCAGGCAGGTCAGTGCTCGCACAAGCAGAGGTCTGGCAGGGGCTCCCGACCTCCACAAAATCCCTTGGCGCCCTTCGTGTGCCAGGGAGGGGACATGGGCTCTCTGCCACCGGCCTCCTCGCAGTTTGGTGGGTCCCATTGTCCCTATAAAGCCCAAATATATATATATATTTATATATATAATATGTATTTTATATATATATATATTTTTTTCTCCTCATGGGTTCCATTTCTTCTCACTTTGTGACATAAATTTGTGTGAAAATCACCCTGTGATCGGGCACCTAGCTGAGGGGCACTCGTGCCTGCCTAAACGGGCTGGGAGAGGGTCTGACAGTGGGTGTTTTATACAAACTGCGCTTCCATAGACACATTATTCCATAAAGGAAGCTGCAAATCCCGCAGGGAGCAGAGACTCGCAGGCTTCCCAAAGCAGCGAGATCGGGAACGGCTTTAATGTGAACTTGCCTCCGATTCCAGCGAAGAAGGGGAGCCGGTTGAACCAAAGGGAGCTGAACGGGGCCGATTGGGGCTGAAGAGCCGGGGAGGCTTCGACGTGATCCTCACGTCCGCGGGGCTGGACGGGGGCTGTTCCGCACGCAGAGGGCACTGCGTTAAATAACCGCGAGCTTGGTTATCGCAGCGGGAGCGAGGAGAAGGGTGCAGGATGCCCAGAAATAGGGGAAATAAAGCATTAAGGGGCGCTTTCCCTCATGCATTTGAAGCGTGGCGAGGCTCAGGGCCGCTCTCCCCGCAGGTACCACGCCACGGTGCACCCGCTGCGCGGGCGCCTGTCGGCGCGCGCCTGCGCCGCCGTGCTGGGCGGCATCTGGCTGCTGTCGTGCGCCGCGGCGGCGCCGGCCGTCGCGCACACCTACCACGTGGAGTTCCGCCGCGAAGGCTTCGCCATCTGCGAGGAGTTCTGGGTGGCGGCGGAGCGGCAGCGCCTGGCCTACGCCTACGGCACCCTGCTGCTCACCTACGTGCTGCCGCTCTCGGCCGTGTCCCTCTCCTACATCTGCATCACGGTGAAGCTCAGGAACCGCGTGGTGCCCGGGCACGCCACGCAGAGCCAGGCCGAGCTCGAGCGGCTGAGGAAGAGGAAGATCTTCCGCCTCGTCGTGCTGCTGGTGGCGGCCTTCGGCGTCTGCTGGCTCCCCATCCACGCCTTCAACGTCATCCGCGACATCGACGTCGGCCTCGTCGACAAGCGCTACTTCCTGCTCATCCAGCTGCTGTGCCACTGGTTCGCCATGAGCTCCTCGTGCTGCAACCCCTTCCTCTACGCCTGGCTGCACGACCGCTTCCGCGGCGAGCTCAGGAAGATGTTGGCGCCGGGGCGGAGGGTCCTCCCCGGTGGAGCCGGCAGCGCCGCGCTCTGAGGCCGCCCGCGGGCCGCCGGCTCCGCGCGCCGCTCCCGCTCGCTCCGGCGGGAAAGCTGTGGTGGAAGGAAGCCCTTTTGCTCGCCGTTCGGGAGGAATCCGGCTGAGGAGCACCTGGAGGGCAAAGCGGACGGGTCAGGGGTGCTTCCTGCTGGTGTGGTGCCGGGGAAGGGGCTAGCGGAGCAGCCGAGGGGCCGGCGCATCCCAGGCTCCGCTCTGTGTCCGAGGGCTGCCCCATGGAAGTGAGCGGAGCAGCGGGATTCAGGAAAGGCTGGAAACACGAGGATTTTCTGCTGACGGCGCCTCGCTGCTCCCTAACTCAGCTAACCCCCCGGCACGGGCACACTCGGCAGCTTCCGCAGGCCACCCCGCCGGGAAGGGGCAGCGAGCGGGAAGAGGAGGCGGGAGGGAAGGAGGAAAAGCGGCGGCAGGGCCGCGTGGCCGGCGCCGGCGCCAGGCCCGACCGGTTGTGCTTCATGCCACGGCTTCCCGCAGGCGAACGCGGCCCGCGAGGAGCGGCCGGAGCGCGCGGGACGCCGCGAGCTGCCGTCTCATTAAACTGGCTTTCATCGAACCGCCTCGCGGGTGCTGCAAAGGGCATTCTCCCCCAAAACTCTTTGCAAACCCCAAAAGCCCGGCCGTGTTTTTTTCCTGGGAAGCCTTTTGTCTGCTCCCGTTCGGAGAGGCGGGAATGGCTGTGCGGAGGGAGGTGGGAAGGGAGCCCCACATCCCTAGGTGCCGCATTCCCGTGTCATTAGCGCGTGGCGGATCTGCTCGCGCGTCCGCCCCGGGCCCTTGCCCGGCCAGCCTGCGGCAGGACGAGTTCTCCTCATTGCTGGAGGCTGCACCCGCATCCCCCCGCTCCGTCCCGGCCAGGACGCGGTTCTCCCATGGGAAAAGGGGGCTTGAACGTGCCCTGCTCTCCAACACCTCCCGTTGGAGCCGAGCCGACCTGTTCCTCCCGCTCCCGGCGCGTGGCTCCGCTCCCGCCGCGCCGCTCCGTGCCGGTTGTGCGGGAGCGAAGCAGCCTCCACATCAGCTGTTTTCATATTTAATTTCATTGCACACACACACTCAGTACCCCCAGGACACCCCAACACCCCCTGTACCCCCCAGCACCCACCAATGCAGCCCAGGACACCCCAACATCCTCCGTGCCCCCTCCAACACCCCCAATACAGCCCAGGACACCCCAA